GGGCTGGACATGGCCACAAGGGGCGAAGGAGACCCCGGGTGGGGATGGGGGCTGGGCTGGACATGGCCACAAGGGGTGAAAGAGGCCCTGGGCGTGGATGGCGGCCAAGGAGGTGGCAGCCTTGCTGGGGCTAAATGCAGCATTGCTTGGTGAGGAACCGAGGTTTTGGTGCGGGGGGAGTCTCCGAGCAAGACCGTGGGTGCAGGACCACTGCCTGGGAGGGGACAGCCTGTGTCCATGCCGGAGATGTTCCTGGGGAGCAAGGTGCAGGTTTTGTGTGAGGGGAGCAGGCTGTCTGCTGGAAACTCGGAGGTGTTTCTGTGCATGGGTGCAGGGTGTGAGGAGGCAGCTGGGGCTGCCCAGGAGCCATCATTTGGTTTCAGAGGAGCTTGAGTGGGATGACAGGCAGTGGTCTACACTGGGGCCACAATGGACCTCTCAATGGTTGGATGTAGGGGCATCCTGTGAGGAGCAACAGGCTGTGTCTGCATGTGGCGGCCCATGTGCCTCAGGAAGCAGCAGGGTGGCTGCGAGCCGAGGCAGCGTTTGGCAGTTGACAGGTGGATTGGGCACCATGAGAACAATGCAAGGTGAAACGGGTGCTCCCATGCGGGACCGTGCTGCGATGGGGGCAGGCTGGGCCCTCACGGGGCTGTCCGAGGTGGGTATGACACTGTGGATTGTCTGCCCAGGACCTGCCACAGAACCAGTTACGTCCGAGAGCTGGATTTGCAGCACCAGTGCATGAGAGTTGGTGGACTGGATCTTCTCTGTGGGATCAATTTTATAGGTCTTCCACCTCCAGGGATGGCAGTCCTAGTACTTCCACTCTTCCTATGAAAATCTTATTAAATTGTCCTGACAGACTTTCAGTTCCAAGGCTTTTCTTGCTTTCATTTGTGTTCTTCCCTGACAGTCAGTTTTTGGATATTCTCCTTTAACTTGCTTCCTTGCTTAAGCATCACTAATGCTTATTATAGTTGTTTTGTATGGTTGGCAGTGACTGGATATGTAGCGTCACAAGGAATCATCTTTAGCCTATACCAGATAAGTGACATCTAGCGTACTGTCTTGACACATAGCATTAAAGAAAGGCTTGTTTTCTTGATAAATACAAAGCTAACACTTAACCTGGATATATCTGCCAGCCTCTAAAGTTATCATTTAAATTATGCATGATGCTCTAGATTACAGTATAAGAGTAATACATATAAGTGGGTAAGTTTCCTAATCCACTATATTGCTTGATGAAGAACTTTCACACAGATATAAAGAAACTTCAAAAATTTAGTGTGGATGCTTTTGCTATTGAAACATAGCAAATTCATCAGACCATTTAGAAATTTATTTTTGATGCTCCTTTTAGAGACAGAATTTTAGAGAATGCAGTTGGAGACAAATCTCACTGGTTAGGTCAGTCAGACCATAAAAACTGGAAGCTCTTGTGACATTGCTGTCAAGAACAGTTGGTTCTGGGCTAGCTGTAAAGGTGAAAAATTTATGTTTTTTCCTGACTTGGTCGTAGATACAGTCAAAATGACCCTCAAAGTAATTCTAAGGTTTTTTTTATAGTTATTCAGTTATTTACCCTTTTAAATTTAAATGAACATTTCCAAAAGAAAATTGAACACTGGAACAGGGCCCTGCCACCTGATGGTAATATGAGGGAGTTATTTTTCATTTCTTCTCTTAATATAAAGTCTGGAGGACAGCAGATAGAGTTATTAAGCAGTGAGTCCCAAACAAACAAAAGGAGGCTTTTTCCAATTGTGTATAGTCAGACTGTGGAAGTCATTGCCTCTGGATGTTTTAAATGTCAACATTTTACATGGGCTCAAGAATGATGGAACAATTTATGGAAGAAAAAATCCGTTGACAGCTATTAAGCACTAAGGTGCTACGTTAGATACAGATATTTGCTTTGTTCTGATACTCTTCCCTAAATATTCTTAATTGTCCATTGCTGGAGGCAAGTTACTGAACTAGAAGGAGTGATAGTTTGGTCTGATATGGCCATTCTTGTGTCATTGAGAATTACTGTTTTCCATTATTCTTATTTTTCACAGCTCTATAGATACAGCTTATCAAACTGGAGGCCCTGTGACTCAGCAACTCAGACAATTGTTTGTTCATACCTAAAACTAATTCTTGTTAAGATTTGATGTATAATTTTAGTATTTTCTTGAACTTCAGAGTTTTTACTGGAGAGATTGCAGTTGCCCTAGTTATTTTTATTTATTCTTATTATGGTAGTTCATTGGGCTCAATCCTTTGTGCTAGGTGAAGTTAGAGTGGTAGAGCTTTAGCCTTTGTGATTCCCAAATCTAAATGAACAACACAGATGCAAAGGGAGGAGCTTCCAGAATAAAAGCAAAATTAAATTGTAATGTAACAAATATGTGATTGTAATGGCTTTTCTTAAATAAAGAAAAAGTGGTATCCTGAACAGCAGAACTAATTAACTTAGTTTCTTAAGGAGCGAAGAGCCATAAACCACCCTTCTTTGGTTCTGCAATAACCCTTATTTTCCTCTTTCTTTGTGTCTCCTGTGCTGTCCTCCTGATCCAGACCGTTACATATGCCAATGACCAACTACCTTCAGCAAATAGAATATATAACGGACAAGTTCTCCTTGTAGTTTCCTCAGTGGAGAAACTAATTTGTGTTCCTCTCCCTTATCGAGTTGCCACCTCTTCTGAAATGTGTAGAAACTTGACAGATTAAAACTACCGCCCCTGTTGATTGAAATTCCCCTGCAGGTTTAAAAAATACCGGGAAGATGGATGGTCAGACAACTGGTGAACCCAGAGACAAAGCTATTCCATAAGCCTCTTTTCCTTAGGTAAAGAATTAAGTCAGAAAGTGTTGAAGTAGTTAATTTTAAAATGTACAAGCTGGAATGCTTTAGCATTTTGGGTTGGAGTCAGGATTTTGGATGCTGTTCTTAAACCTGAGGCATTGATTGTGTCAGCTTCAGCCATTTCAAAGCACGGTACAGTTCTCAAAGTTTCTTGAAAATTGGTGCCACGGTAAGAGGGATGAACATGAATCAGTTCCTGCATTTAGGGAGAGGGAAACAGAAATCGGCTGTTTTACTTATTGCTTGGCCAGGTGGCCATTATGGCCATTCAAAATAAATTTACAAATACCATTTACAAATAAATGGGGGGGGGGCGTGCTCTGGAGGTGTGGCTGGAAAAGATGGGGTAGGAAATAGGTTAGTCTGGTTAAATAGGTAAAAGGGCCTTGGAAATAATCCATAGGCAAAGCACTAGTTTTTTTTTTTCGCTCCTATGTATCTTGTTTAGGCTGAAACAAATTTTTAAAAATAACAAGTCATGAATTTTGATTGAACTTTATGAGAAGTTTCTGGCTGCCTTAAAACTGAAATAAAGTTTCCCCCACGCCTGCATATCGCCCAGCTGAGGATGTGTGTAATGGAGGCAAGTCCACTTTTAAGAGTGGTTTCTGTGAATGAGGGAGGTCCTGATTACTGCAGAGGGTTGGGATTGGTGAGGCAAACGCTCATAAAATAGAGCTGTCTCTGTTTTTGCAAGGATTTTTACATTTTCCAGTAGTGCTTAAAGCTTGTAGTAATGGAAGTTTAAAGCAACTTAAATATTATAAAAATATAGTAACAAATTCTAGAAAATAAATATATTTCTTTCATATCCTCATATGAGGCCAGCAGAAGAGAGTCAGGTAAATTTTAAGACGTCAGTTCAGTTCTACACTGATTGATGCCTGTTACAGTGCCTAGGGGATCAAAATAAAATATATGAAAATTTCCTGAATGGTTTGTCCAAGTTCTAAGATCTGTTATATTTTCTAAAATCTGTTATAAAGTCCTAATTTTTGTGACAAACTTTCTAACTGTGAAAGGCAATTCTCTGTTTTACAGACTGACTGATAATAATTGCATGTAAAAATATTGCTACCTTTCTACAGTAGGCAACTTAGAGGACATTTCTTCTGGTAGTTAAAAGCCTCAGCTGGAGCACAAGAGGCCACAATTTATTATCCTGTGTGATTGCAGGGAAGCCACTTAATCTTTCTGGGAAACGTTCGGCTGCTGATAATGGACAGACAGAAGAATGAAATATTTTGAGGTTCACACCCTTCAGCACCAGTTTAGTTGTGCTGTGGGGACGTGTAGCACGTAGCATACTGAGTCTTCAAAAGGGCTCTGTCACTGAAGCAATAGTAAAGCAGCTTATTCCATTGCAGAGACTTACTTGTGTTACAAAAATTTATAACAAAGATCTTAAATTTCTGATAATGTTGACGGTGATGCTGTAAATATATGTTCAGCAAAATTTGTCCTGAACCGACATTGTTTATCCAGACATTTCCACGTCTGTGCAGGAGCAATGTGTTTGGGTCCCATACCTCTAGTTCTGGGTACTGTGAAAGACATCAGACCAGATTATCTGTAGCTTAAGCTTGGTTTCTAGTGACAGCTGTAGGTCTTAATGATAAGCCTGCAGCTGGATGAATTCTCTAAGGAGGACACCATGAGAAGAGATGATATCTAACTGATATTTTCCAGTTTGTGCTGATATACTAGTTGTTTGGAGAAAACCCTGTAGACTAAGCCATACATGTTTTCTACTAATGAGACATTGCAATAGCAAGAGACTAGTCATCTTTTCTCTTTTGTTGGCCAGAGTCAAACAGCTGCTTTGCTAAAGAGAAGAGAAAGGCTTTATTGAGCTTATCAGTGAAAGCATTGTAATGTACCCATTAGTGTTTACGTGCATCATCCATGCCCTCTGCTGGTGGAACGTCAGAGACTCTAGCATTTGTCTTCTCCAGTGATGGAAAAGGATTTATGTAAAGGCTGTTACCGTGACAGAGTAGGACAGATTGAATTCTGTGTCAAGAAGTCTGTGTTTTGGATCCTGAAGTTTGGTATATGCAGCATGAAAACTTTTCAGTTTTTCAGAAAACTAGGCATAGGATTTGAAAGTCTGTATATTACTCGTCCAATGCCCCTAATGACTGGCTGGGCCCAGCAGCATGATACTTGATCCTTTGTTGTGACATTAACAATGTTATCATTATGGGACTGCAGGGTGCCCTTAGCCTCCCTTTACAATGGGTGATTGTTATCCCCTGCCTCAGGAAACCATCACTTGACGCTGGCAAGCTATCTTCTTGTCTCTACCTGTTAGTGGCTTGAGGGAACAGTATTGCTCCAGGAGGTGATTGCCAACATGTGGTTTATTTCTTATGCAGGACCTTGAAGTTGTGCTGAACAATATTTTGTAAGATGAAAACTAAGGCAAAGAAAGGTAACTGCATATTGTCTGCTGTCTACATATATGCAGCTGAACACCACATCCAGAATTGCACATAAATATAAACACGGGAGCAAAATATTTGCTGAATATATGAAATAGTGATTCATGTTAATTTTCATGTGCAGCTTGTGTCTGTTTACTGATCAATAAACACACTGTCAGTGCTAAGCTAAGGCGTATGTACTCATGCATTGAAAAACGTCCTCTAATCGCTACTGGCCAAGGAAAACTACAATCAGTATACAGTGATGGTGATAACATATTAGTGGATGTAATTAAATACAAAGTGATTCCCCTAAGAATGCTATTGATTGATAGATGCACCCTTTACATCCTTGCCTTTTACTGTCTGATATGTAATGAGGTGACAAGATTTTGCAGTCCTGAGGACACACTATTTGACAGTGAAAAGAAAAGTAGCTGCTGAAGGTTCAGAACACCTACACTAAAGAACTGTTTTCTAATGATCCAGATCCTTGACTGGTACAAACAAAAATTTAGGACTGGTGTGGAATACTTTATGAATACTTTTGAATGTTTACATGACTGTCATCCTCAACAAAAATACCATGACGCTGGGTTAAGTTTCAGCGGAGTCTTTCAAGAAAAGTAGACAAAAGGGTTCAGGCTAACCACTTGTTAAGAAACGCTCAAAAGTTCTAAGGGATGAAGTCAGTTCTAAGGGAAGAAGCTTTTTGATTCTGTTTCCAGCAACCTATAAACTGTTTTTCAGC